GCATATAGGTCTCCTAAACTCCGTCTAACTGTAGTTCTTACTTCGTTTTTTTTCAATCCGTCTTTTGTTTCTTAATTCTGTCACTTTTAAAACTTGCTCAATTATGACAGTGTATTGTGTAATCCAACCAATAAACAAACCCAACGACCAACCCTTTACTTACCGACAAGTAATAAATTATAGGTCGCTTCTCAGAGTAATTGGGGGGCGTATTACTGTAAAGAATTCAAAGTTTGATAGACAGTAGCAAAGCAACTGGACACTAAATCGACAATATAATCAAACGCTTATCTCTACCAAACTTTGTTGCACTCGCAGATGATTCGAAATGCGCTATCATTGCACCGAGGGTTGTTTGTTGACACGACTGCTTTGTGCTTTGTGGCATATGGAGAGGCTTTTTAGTATGTGCATCGACAGGTATCCTACCGGAAACAATCACTGTTGATGCATGGCATAATTGAGCTAAAGCAAATGAGACCGGTTTGAGCGTTGCAGTAGACGGTGAATGGAAGTAAAGTTGGGAACAGCATGTGTGTACCCATGTGTTGTAGCTGTTGCCTCATACTGTATCCACTATGCCCCATGGTGAATGTAAAAGCGCCGCAAATGTATGTGGGCTGCCGTAGCTCTGCGCATTTTAGTGGTTTAGACACTAGGTTTGGGTTTCTCCGTGTGGTCGTCATCCTCTTGTTTCGATCGATGCAGAGGTGTCCCAAGAGACCTATACGAACATTCAATGCAGTAATCTTACATAGAGAGACGTTTTACATTCAACCGAAATGCCTACTGAGCAGACAACCTGGACCTTTCTTAATGGAAAGGTGCATTTGTAGGATGTGAGGGCCACTATGTTGGATGTCAGTGGTGCATTTATTTTGGATTTTCTATTTTTCCAGTCGTTTTTTTTTGCCTTAGTAAGTAGCTAGATGATCAAAAATAATAAATTTTTGACGTTCCGTATATCCATAAATTTTAACTGGCTGGTGAATCGATTCGCCATTTGCTGTCAGAGATCTAATTCATAGAGAAGATGTAGAGGTGAGTGCCGGAGCAAAAGCCTTACTCATCTGGTGTTTCGGTTGAATTCTTGAACCGATCATCAGATAGTGATCGCATCTACGTCTTCTCAATTACTTCCCGGGCCTCGCGTTTTGTTTGCATTGAATTCATACTTTGCATTCATAGGTATTCTGACCTGTGTAATGCAGGACTTGACGTTCCTTCATAAGCATAATTGTATTCGAGTACCGGAAGGAGAATTTATACAAATATATCCGTCTAGGCACGCGACATTACAGGTGTCCCTGTTCACTACATGAACAGTTTTCTCAAATAACGTGAGCCTCTAAAACGAGTCTGTGCAGGTCTCGTAGTACACCTCCAGGCAAACTCTCATACTGCCTACTAAACGGATCCTTGAACATTGCACGTTCGTATGGGGTCATGCTTTAGCTTTTGTCTCCAGTGTTTATGAATCCCACTGCAGTAAGCCCTCGTTACCTAGTCTGATCTTTCCTGCTTCGTGTTTTTGAACCTTAATTGGTTAAAAGCTCTACCACAAAGCCAACTTCCGCAGTTTACTCTTCTTTCAAGTGTATTTGACTTTTCTGCTCCCTTTCATTAACAAGCTCTGTACGGCTTGTTTAGAGTCCCAACTTTAAGAACACCTTGTGAACTTGCAAAAGGTGATTAGCAACGCTATCGGAAGCGAGCGAGGGCGCGTGAGCCGGAAAAATGCCAATCATTCAAGTTGGAAGCATCCCCGTCGAATTTCCCTATAACCCCTATCCCTGTCAGGTTGCCTATATGCAAAGTGTCATAGATGCGCTTAATGAGGTAATTTGTGGCGCACGACAGTTTCCTAACCAAACTGCTTTCAGAGACGTCATGCAATTCTGGAGTCCCCTACTGGCACCGGAAAGACTCTTTGCCTGCTCTGTGCTTCCCTCGCTTGGCTGGACTATATTCGGGCCCAACAGCAGCTCACCGCGTTGATAGCCTGGGACACACCCCATCCGACCCCCGAGGTCCCCGTCTCAGGTCTG